AGTATATAAACATAGCAGCAGCATATACATACAAGTATCTATCTCACGAAGAAGAAGACAAAGAATAGAGGTCATGTCTTCTTGCTCTCTGAGGAGTGGACTCGTTATGGTCCTCTGTTTCATTCTTCTGCTTTTGTCTTCCAATGTTGGAAGTGCCGATGCTCGCCGCCTAGGTTCTCAGAGGCATCACCACTCTCGGAAACACAAGGCTGCTTCTTTGATAAATGACAGGCGGGTGCTGGTTGGAGTCGAGACAGGGGAAGAAGTAGTGGTCATGGATTACCCTCAGCCTCACCGTAAGCCTCCCATCCACAACGAGAAGAACTAATTACCCGATCCCTACGTCTCTCTTTCTATATATCATACTACTGTTTTATGCATATGCATTCACCATGTTGGTGGTTGTAATGACTCTTTGCTATACATAAATATATATCCATAACCAACTTCTTTTGTGCTCTCTTTCTCCCTCTCTGGAACAAACAAACTAGATTCTTGTTAACAATTTAGAAATCTTCATCGCCATTTTAGCTCCAAATTCACTTGAGTAGCACGTAAGCAACAGCATCAATCCAAAAGAATACCAAAGTGTGTGAGAGGCACAAGCCCTCATTGCAGCTAAAAACTTAAGCTAACCGTAACATATGATAAAGTACCAACTGTATACTTCTGGTTTCAATAGGATGAATGACATAAAGAATATGGTTAAACAGAAATCCAAGATTTCAGCTGCACGGAACGATGAATGGCTTCACAAAATCAAGGAAATCAGATGTTCGGACGCCCAGCTTCAGATCTATCTCTCCACCGCCCAACCAGAAAGAGTCCGGTCTAAGCTTGGTTATGGCCTCATCCAATATCACCTGACATTTCCAAAAAAAACCATCAATAGTTCAATACTGCTCAATATCAATATATCGGAAAGCAAAATTAGTCTGATTACGCCTCAAGAAACTCTAAACATGAATAAATACCAAACAAGCATTTTTATCTATATCTCCATTAAAGCAAACTCTATGAATACTTTCAAATAACAAGCCACTCTGCACAAATCGTATTGAGAACCAAGATTTTATCATGAGAACACAAGCAACAGTACTAGTTCCTCAAAAGGGAAAAACCGTTAATACTGAGGTCTAAAGATGATTTTGAAAGACTGATGTGTCACAGTAGCAGAAATACAATAGTGTATTGTCTGAAGTGGGCCAATTCTGCATAAAGAAAGGAAGATAACAGGCTCTACACATCAATGCAGTAGGGTACGAGTCTAAAATTATTTATACACAGTTACCAAAAATAACACCATTCAAGTCTCTCTGCCTGAAACCCATTACTAACTCTGGTCCTGGTAGATCAAAGAAGGTATTGAGCTGTAAGAAACGAGGTTCTAATTTTTTTACTATCAATGGGGAAAGTACTAAAGCCAATGAGTAAGACGAACAGCAGCTGGCTCACAAGAAAACTCCCAACTTTAGGTACGTATCAAATACAAATTGTGTAAAAATGTATCACACCTCCTGTACAGAGTACAGACTCATAGCTGTGTAACCCATTGGGCATTGCAACCTTCCGGGCCTTTGTGACAATTAGGACAGGGTAATAGTCTGTGATGTCTGGAAAACGCTTGGCAAGCACATGTGTGCGATAGGGAAAACTCTCTGTAAATATTTATGAACACAAAAAAACAGCACAAAACTGTTTGTCTAGGAGAAGAAAACACAAGTGGGTAGAAATTCCTCTCATACTAATCCCCATGTCTTAAACATGTCTGATATGTAATTAATAGTGTAGAGACTACTGTAGCAGCGATGAGAAAGCACAAAGAGGCGATTACCAGAACACAGACAAATAACGCAGGCTGCGGAACTAGCCCCTCAGCTTTGACTGTGAAGGGTTATCTCAAGCAAATATTTAATTAACGGTGTGGAAATAAAACTTACCGGTATGTCCGTCTTCATACCAATACAGGTAACCGCATTGTGCTCAAATCCAGTCAATTTGATTGACGTCTCCTCAGGAGCAAGTCTCACTACACAGAGATTAGTGCAAGCCTCATCAGATAGAATCAACATAGAAACTTCAATATGTTAGCTTGTGATCATGTACTGACAATTAAATCTTTTTTTAGGGATCTTGCCCTCATTTAGTGAATAAAGAAAGTTCTTCACTGCATCCGCGTTGAATCTGGCAGTATACTGCCATAGGACAACAAAGAGAATATGTGGTCAGATGTAAAAAAGGTGAGAATGCTATTCTCCAGGAAGCATCATGAGCACCTGAACAACAACAACGTAGTATTTTGAGTTGTTGCGATCACTGCAATCCAAAATATTTGATGAAGCTTGTGTATTAACCTGTGCATTGTAAACAAATAGTGAGGAAACACACACAAACTAATTCAATTGCTCAAGTGTGTAACATGAAACTCTATCCGAGGCAAGCGAATAGAAATAAGTCTTTTCCATGTTACATTTTGCCTTCTGATCCTTGAGTCAGTGTGTGTAGTTTCGCATATCAGCTACTATTCAAGTAATGCAGAGAACTGTAATATTGTTCCATGAACTCTAAAACAACGATAATGCTATTCAAATTCCGAAAGAAGTCGCTGCGAGAAAGGAGAGAAACGTTGAAGTACCAGAACAATGCTCTTGCAGAGATGGTCGACAGAGGCCGCCCCGAGAACGTCACGGCGGGATTCGAGAGGCCAGTCGTAGTAATCGGGAGCGACTCTCTTGAAGGAGAAGTCTTTCACGCCGCCGGAACGGAGGATGGCGGAGAGGCGAGTCACCGTTTCGCTTTCATCAGCCGGTAGAGAAGGCGGCTGCGGGAGGATAGAGCTCTCGAGATCGGAAATTCGACGGAGGATTTCGATCTGGAGTCTCTCAAGCTCCGCCGTCGCAGCCTCCTCCATGTCTCCCCTCTCTCTCCCCGATTGTGTAATCACCTGCGGTCGTGTCTACGATAAAACAAGACGACAAAACAAAAAAAGCAGAGTGATCTGAGCCGTTGATCGCTCCGAGAGAGAGAAACGGCGACGTATATCTGCCGACGCGAGTCCACACCACGTCGGCCCAAATAAACAAATATGGGCCCAATTAGTGCTCCACCAATAACTCCACTGCGAGCCTTTTGACAAGACACGTGAGGGGGACAGTCGTTGACTTCGAAGCACGTGCCACGTGGACGTATCAAATCGGACGGTGCAGAAAAATACAATGGGCGTGAGACGATTGGATCCTCCGTTAGTTTCTGCCCACATCCCAAAG